TATATATATAATTTTAGTTAGTTTCATCTTTTAATTACATTCTCTAATATTTTGTCAGTTAAAAAAAATTAAATTTTACGATGTTATGATTGCATTTTTTTGAATGCCTGGATTAGATACGTATTTACCAACATAAAACTTGTCGACTATTGGTAATCATATTTTTGATACAGGCGATATCGATAGTTCATGATTATCGACAGTATTGCAATTGCTACGATCTCGACCTAGTAGCGAGTTTCGTTATCGAATCGCTTATCTGTATATACATATTACGAGCGTAAACAGCGATTCTTAAACCACATGATAGCTCGTCGGGCTCGTCGCGATTATCCACCATCAAGTACAGCGTGAGCAAGTGGGAGTTACCCGCCCATTGCTGGTTTATCGTGTATTGTCGATTACGACAGGCAGGTAGTTGTCGTGTAAAAGTGCATAATCCGCGTTAGTGTTGGAGCGTACGAGCTCCAACATGGTTATTAGTGAATGATGGTGAACTCTGGTAGAAATTATGGTGACAGCAACTTTCGCTCCTCACTTAGGCCGTTTAGACGTGATTGAATGTCTATTTGGATCGACCTAATAATTCTGATTCATGTCAACTTATACTTGCACAATTCAGATGAATTGATTTACTTATAAAAGATCTTGTTGTGTCTTTGACAGAAGAAATAAACATGAGTGAGGATCATCTTACATCAAAGACTATATCGCCTTTGTAGAACCTGTTCTTGTCTTTTGTCATCGCATAATCGATTACAAAGTGAGCAAAGAATTTAAGACATATTATTTTAATGAATGAAAAATATACTGATGGTTTTGTTACTGACAGAGATGGCTGAGAATATTCACAATAAGGAACAATGGGAGCTCCTTCACAGTCTTCGATCTACTGTAGAGGGTCTGCTGATCGACGGGGTGTCCAATGTGTGGAATGTTTATGGTGGTCTGAATCGACTGCACAGTGTGATGGAACGGATATTCAAGCATGGCTGTCGGATATTTGATCCTAATGTTAGTTGAATTTGTCCTTCCTAAAGTTTCTTTATTGAAGATATTATCTTAGAACTTCTAATTGTTATAATGTATAATTGTTATAATATATTATAATTACATAGAACTACAAAAAACATTTTTCAAAATTTAATTGAAATCAGAGTAGGTATTTTTTTTGTTGTTGTAGATTTTGAATCATTTTGAATCTGAATTTGAAAACCATATCTGATTTTTTTAGATAATTGAGAAAAATAGTGGAAAGTTTTAAAGAGCCAAGTTGTTAATACATGCTAGAACATTTAAGATGCTTAATGAATTATAAAATTTATCTATATTTATATTGATTATTGTCCCGAAAATTTTGGAGAATTCAATGAAGAACAGAATAAAGGATTCCATTAGGATATCAAAGATAGAAAAAAAAAAATTTGAAGTGACACATGTTAGATATTTACTGAAATTTAAAGAGAGAAAACAAAAAAGATACAAGAGAAAATTGTTTAAAGATCTTGTAAAGAAAAAAATCAGTCTCACAAGATTTAAAAAAAGAATGTGAATTTTCTTCAGTTTTCTGATGTTAATCCCCCAATCAATTTGGAATAATTTTGAGAGAAATGATATTCCATGTAGTTCAAAATGGATTACACAAGAATACAAGATCCACTTCAAAATAAATGAAGTTCTATCCTTACTTATCTGTCAAAACTTGCAAGTTTAGATTCGAAACTTTAGACTTCAGCCTTTTTTTAAAACTCATATTAGTAACAGCTGTTCACACTTTGTATCCAATTCTATAACATAATTTACCTAATTTATTTAATTTATCTTTCAAATAATTAAGATTCATTTCTGAGGCTATAAAGATCTTTTATGACTCATGCAGATCTGATTGTTATATCACATCAATTTATTTTACGATGTGTTATGATATTTAACATTAATAAAATAAAAGGTTTTTTATTAATAAATTTTTTGAACTTATTGCATTATGTGCACCAATTCAGTAAGTTATTTGATAAATAACAGGTCTAATGTTCTAGACTTTACATAACGCTTGCAACGTTTGCAAGCATCGTTTGTCTTTGTTTAACATTTGATAAACAACAAGGATGGAATGATTCCACAAGCGTTGTAAGCGTTAAATGGAACACGGTCCTAATGTTAAATTGTTATCGTAAAAATGCATCAATTTGCTAACAAATGTAGACTCAGTTGCTATAATTCTGGTAGTATCATATAATATAATGTTAGTAACATGCCAACAACATAGATACATTGTTATCTGGATATTATCGTAGTAAGTACTAAGTACTGATAAAGGAGAGAGAATTCTACTATCCGAACTATTTGGTTATTGAAATTGTTCTTTGACATGTACTGGCAGAATTTTACTGTATGTGAAAAAAATTTTGCATATGAATCCAAACAAATCTTACATTGTAAACAAATTTTATAAGGGTGAGCCGGATTGTTGGATATTTATTCAAGGATTGAATTGGCTTCAACCATCTTTGGCGATCTCGCCAATATTGTCCGAAAATGAGGATTATTTATGTAATTTACCAGCTAGGATAACATCCAAGAAGGATATGTTGTGGCTGTACAAAAGGTAATTATCTATTCTTTATTAAATATATAATAAATTTATATATATGTATATATATATATATATATATATAGAGTGCTATATCTTTGAATGTTTCCGTATCTCACACTAAATAGTATCTCACTAAATACTTTTCAGTTTAGAGGGTCATTCCTTATCGCATAAATTATCATGGCTTCTATCAGATAAGGAACATTTGCTTTCTTGTTTGGAACCATGGGCATTCCTTTGTCAAGAGAATTTGGCAGAGGCAACGCTTTTATATCTGAGAGCAGTTGAGAGAAATCAACCTGTATTGCTCGCAGAAATCGATCCTTGTTTAGTAAGTAACGTCTTAAAATTACTTTCTCATTGTACGCACTGCACATTTTGTGTGAATGCGGTATAGCTGTTTTATATTAATTTCCATTCGATTATTCTCTTTGCATTAAAATGAGAAATTTTAGAAATTTTAATTTTTAATAATATTAAGTAAAAATGGACTGATGTGAGATTAAATACAATAAATGAAAAATACCATATTCGATCAAGGCAGTTCTCTTCGTGTCTTATTGTGAATTTATACAATTTTCATTGAGCCAATTGTGTACCGATAATTTGATGATCTTGTAACATATCTCTAAATGTGAATTTAAAATGCTTATTAACATCAAATTATTAAAATTTTAAGATGCCTATAAGCATCAATAGTATTAAAATTGTTTGTCAATTCAATTTGTTATAGCCCGAACGGCTATCACAAATTATTTCATTCCAACCAG